TTTGGGGTGTGCCCCATAGAAAAAACCCCTCCAAAAAAAAAAAAAAAAAAAAAAGGCCGGGAGCTAAATCTTAAACTTGTAGGTACTTATAAACTGCTCTGGATTTTTGTAGGTATGTGTTAAATAGGATTTTAAGACTGTTAATAAGTGGTGGTTGGTATGAGGGTGTGGACATGGGAAACATTGGATATGAAAATCAATTAAGGTGATATAGTAGTAGTCTATGAATAAGAGGAAAACGGCTTCAGATGTGGGTGTGGCAGTAGGAATGCAAAATAGAGAATTGGCATGGAAGGCAATTCAAAGAATAAGGCAATTCAAAACCTTTGGGAATGAGAATGAGAGAGGCAGTAGCCTGTGACTCCATATGTTAAAACTTAAATTATAATGTATAAAGATCATCATTTGTGCAAAAGGTCATGCAGATTATTTTCAATGTGTAAGTACTTTAGGCTCAAGCTGTATTTAAGAGTACATAATTTAGGGAACCAGCAGTTAGCATAATGGCTATGTTGCTGGACTCCCACGTAGTCGACTGCAGTTCGCATCCCGGACCCAGTGGCTTAAAACTCTCCGGGCATGTGTATGTGCATGCCCAAGGAGAAGGGATTGCGGCGTGACCATCCCCTCTGGGGGGTGATTTCTTGCATTCTGTCTCTGTCTCTCTCTGTCTGGCGAGCGCACGCGCCCTATAGCAAAAACCTCTCCAAAAAAAAAAAAAGTACATAATTTAAATGAAGTTTCTCCACAAGAATAAATTTTATTTTTTCCCTTGTTTTAGTTTCTGCTTTTTTGTTTACTTAGTTGTTTTGGTTTCAGGATTAATATATGAATCAAAATTGTATAGTGCACCAGGCAGTGGTATGGTGGTTAAGGTGGCTGGATCTTTCACGGCCAACTTTATAGCTTGAGTCCTGGATCCAGTGGTTTGAAAAACATGTCTGGCCCATGTGCACATATGCCCAAAATCCCGAGAGGAGAATGAAGAAGGGATTGCATCATGGCCATCCCCCCTGGGAGTTGATTTCTCGTTTTCTCTCTCTTTCTTCTCCCAACCCCCTCTCTCCTGAGAGTTTATGCACCCTATAGGAAAACTACTACTACAACAAATTTATTGTGTGTAATATAGTAACATGACTAATTAGCATTCTGTCATATTGTTGAGACAAATTCTTTGACACTAGCTTGTGAGAGAAAGGCTCTATGCTTGGGGTTTTGGGAACACACACACACACATCATAAAGATAAGTAACTGGTTACAGAGTAGAAAAGTTAGAAATGTGAAAAACACAGAAGAGAGATTTTGTGAAGTTTATAATCTTTTATAATCTTTTTTGAATGACTTTGCACAATGGTGAAAAGACTGAAAGCAGGCTACTTTTGCAGAGAGTCTAATTATGTCTGTCCATTTATTTAATAAAGTCTCCAAGAAAAGCCAAAACCTAGAAAGAGGCTGGATATCCACTGATAGGGGAATGGAAAAGCGTTTTATTTATACAATGGAATGCTAATGCTAATCAGCAATGAAAAGGAATGAACTACTGATTTGAGAAATTATATAGACAAATAGCAAAAACATTGTGTTGAGTCAAGCCTTGCACAAAAAAAGTTTATGTGAGAGTTTCAGAAAGTTCACTGAATATGAGAATTATGAAAAAACTATGCATGGATTTCAAAAGTTTACAGCAAAATAAAACTTGTACTTTTTTTCATTTTTTCCACAAACTTTTTGCAGTCTGCTCATACTGTATGATTCCATATACATGAACAAAACCATAGTGGGGAAAAATCAGTTCCATCATGACCTCTGGGGTGGAACTGAGGAACTGATTGGGGAAGGGTAGAAGGGAACTGTTTGAGGGTGATAATGTTCTGTCTTGGTAGAGGTTTGGGTCACGTGGGTGTATGCATTTCTCAAAATGTATTAAGTGGTTCATTTAAGTTTCATCTTTTCCCTCTGTGTAAATTTTACCATTGTTCATGACGTTGAAGCAACATGGAATGGGCTCTACTTTGCACACAGGACCTTCCTGTATGAGTTGGGTGGTGTAGTGGCCCGTGATCCTAGCTGGCTGAGGCTGGGGGTGGGTTGTGGTGTAAGGACACTGTTGGGGGTGCCTATCTCTCTCTCATGGAAAGGAAAAGAAAGTGAAAATTGAACCTTGGTGAATAATACAAATGCTGAAGTGTTTAGGGCTGACAAGTTTGGTGTCTTGATGTCTGCAAATTACTTTGAAATGTATAAAAAGAATTGGTAGGTAGATAGATAAATAATGGGTACTTACATAAATAAATACTGAAGCCAATACACTAAGATAATTGTTGAATCTGGTGGTATATGGGTATTCACTAGAATTCATTATAAAATTCTTTCATCTTTTCTGTACATTTAAAAATGATTTTAATAAAATGTTCAAGAAATCAAGAACTTTGAATACATATTAAACCCTTAGATGACTATGATTTACCAGTGTGGGAGTCAGTAGAGCACAGTAAGAGGCTGGAGTTTTGTATCAGAGCTTTGAGTTTGAATCCTATTAGTTGAATTTTTTGATTAGTTTTAAAAACTTACAATTGATTTTCTTCTGTGTAATGTGAATAGTATCTATTTTCATAGAGTTATATGGAAATTAATTGGGTTAACATATTCAAATATTAAGATGTTTGGCATATAATGAGCTTTGTTTTGGTTTTTAGATTTTTGTTATAGGGTGGTGTGCTCACCTGATAGAGACAGAGAGAGAGTGAAAGTGAGGTAAAACCTGTCTGGATTGGGGGGTGGGTATAGTCATGCCATAATCCCTTCTCCACCATTCTCCTCTGAGGATTTTGGGAATGCATGTACACATGCCAGGCATGATTTTCTTCTCTCTTTTTTTAAAGGTTTTTGCCATAGGGCATGGTCACTTGCTAGAGAGAAGAGAGACAGAGAGAGATAATGAGAAGAAAAGTGAGAACCCCCCCCCCCCCCCGGGGAATGACCACACAGCAATCCTTTCTCCTTCATTCTTCTCCCAGGACCCTGGGGACACATACACATGCATCCAATGTGATCCTCAAGCTGCTAAGTCCAGGATTCGAACCATGGTTGGCCATGTGGGAATCCAGTGCCTTAGACATTATGTTACCTGCTGGCCACTTAATGAGCTTTTAATAACTTCCTTTTGAAAAGTCATAGGAGGTGGGCCATTTGATGGCGTAGAAGATAAGGCAGCTAGCTGTATCCCACATGGCTGCCTGCACAGTTTGAGTCCAGACCTGGAAGCCTTGAAAAGCACATGAAGGACATGTGCATGTGTGCCACAAATCCTTAGAGAAGAATGGAAGAGAAGGAACTAAGGCTTGGCCATCCTCCTAGGGGATGCTCTCTCCCTTTATATCTGTCTGTCTCTTTCATCTCTCTGGTGAATACACATGCCCTAGAGCAAATTTTTTGAAAAATCATAGGAGCATTAAAAAAAACACTTCAATTAAAACCATTTTCATTTTTAAGAGCCAGTTATAGTAAGAAAAAATACTTTCTTGCAAATATGGGATGTGATTTTAAAAGTTTATTATTTATTTCTTCCATGTCAGAGAAAAAAACAGGCCAGGTACCCCAACAGGGTCCTCATGAAGCTATTCACCCCCAGCTCAGCCTGCCCAGATCACAAGGATGCATGTGCACTCAACATGTACAGAGAGGCCCCAGATGTGAACTGGTGACTTTCCTATGTGGATCCAGTTATGTTACCCACTGCACCACCATCTGGACCCTGGGTATATTTTTCTATACCATTCAAAAGAAATTATGAAAGTTAATTTTTCTTAAATATTTAAATATTTTTACTTAAATAAAAAGCACTCTAGAAAAATATTTTTGTCTGATAGGTTTTATAGCTTCAGAGTAAATCACATTTGTTGTGTACCATTGTCAAGATCCTGAGGTAGGAGACAGGGAAACAAAATGGACAGACACAAGATTCCTGCCCATGAAGAATTTACAATCCACAATTTAATGTTTTATTACTGTTTAGAAGCTAAATACCAAGTCAAGCAAATGCTCTGAAATATGCCTTTCGATATTTGCCATCCATTAAATTTAAGTAAGTAGAATCTACATAGGAGATAAGGTCTCTAGAACAGTGTTATCTCATAGCCAATAGGTAGATCTCTCCATGATAATGAAAATAGTCTGTGCTATCCAGTAGGGTAACCACTGGTCATATGTGGCTATTAAAACTGAGAAACAGGACTAGCAGTTAGCGTAATGGCTATGTTGTTGGACTCCCACGTAGTTGACCGCGGTTCGCATCCCAAACCCAGTGGCTTAAAACTCACACCGGGTGCATGTGCATGCGTGCCCAAGATCCCGAGAGGAGAATGGAGGAGAAGGGATTGTGGCATGGCCATCCCCCCTGGGGGGTGATTTCTCGCTTTCTATCTCTCTGTCTCTCTCTGGCGAGCGCACATGCCCTATAGCAAAAACCTCTCCAGAACAAAACAAAAAACTGAGAAAATACATTTTTCATTATTTTTTAAAGTTTAATTTTTTCATGAGAGAGGCTCTCCTTCCATGACAGAGTCTTGCCACGCTGTGATCTTCTCAGTCTTCCAGGCAGCCAGGATCATGCGTGTGTCCAGTATGTTCAGGTCTATCCAAGAGCCAAACCCCTGGCCTTTTCAAATATACTGCCCAGCCATGGTTGCACAGGTTTTAGGAAGCTCCAGTGTCACATGACAGTGCCCTGCTGTCTGTGCCACCATAGCTGTGCCCTACATTTTTTATAATATTTAATCTTAATTTAACCACATGTGGTGAGTGGCTACCAGGTTGTACTGTCCAAAACTGAGGAAAAGTATCACTTATTTTAAATTCCCAATATGTTTTAAACTAATATTTTTATAGAATTCAATTAAATTCACTACAATCAAATGAAAAAATTAAGGACATGCAAAATAATACCTCAGTTTTTCTTAAGAGTAGATTCAATAGACAGAACTATCAAAACTGCTATAAAATTATAAACACACTCAGCTTCTGTATTTTGTGATCATATATCAATGACAAATAGTTTTCAGGTTTGTAATAGTCATGGACCATACATTGAACTAGGTAGAGGTTTCTTGCCTATTTTACCTAAGATAAAATAATTTCCTAAAATCAGTCCTTTATATAAAAGTTACTGGTAGAGGTAATTTTTTAAATAGATATAATTCAAGAATATGATTACTGATAGAGAAATTAAAACTGTTTATGGCAAGTCTTATCTAGGACTGTATCTTGACAGTGCAATGTGGACAACTTTAAGGTGAACCGAGAAGTCTTATTTGATCCATTTTTGCAGTTGGTGGTATAAGCCAAAAAATCCTTCCTTCTATAAAGTTCAGCCCGATGTTTACAGCAGCCAAATTTGCTCAGCAATTGAAAGAAGTCCCTTCGGAATGCCTTAGTGAAAATTGCATACAGAAATGGATTGGCACAAGAATTGATAGGATAAAATAGAACCAGTAAAACTTTAGAGTTGGTTACTGTGATAAGGGGCACTTTGAAGGCAGCTGAGATGGCAAAAAAGGAGATAGGTGCCATGCAGGTGAAATCCGTGAAGATGAGGATTGCCATTTTCTTAGCAATTTTTGTGTCTTTGTTGGTAGCCATCAGCTCTGGATTTTGAACTGCAAAGTAAATTTTAATGTAGCAAGCACAAATGATGATGAAGGCCACTACATTGAATATTAGGATGGTTAATATGTAGACTTGTGAGAGAGTGGTTTCCACATCCATGGGGAGGCAGATGCTGACCTTCATGTAATTGCTCACACCCACAAGGGGTAAAATAGCAATTAGAGTAGAAAAAAGCCAGCCTCCAAGCATAATCGGAATGGCATGTCTCAGTCGCAGCTTTTGATCCAGCTGAACAGCGTAAGTGATGGTGTGCCATCTTTCCAGCGTGATGACTGTGAGGGTGTAGACAGAAAGTTCACTTGAAAATACGGTGAAAAAGCCAGCAGCACCACACCCACTCCCTGTCTGCCAGTCTATGGCATGGTTATAGTATTGGCCTTGGGTTTGAGAATCAACTGAGGCAATGAGCAGCAGGTAGAGCCCCATGCAAAAGTCTGCAAAGGAGAGATTGCACATGAGAAAACGGGGGACTGTCAGTTTATAACGACTGGTCAGGAGAACAAAGAGAACTGTCATGTTTCCCATGATGGCTAGGATGTTAATCAGCCAAATCAGGACCCTAAGGAAGTCATATCCCATAATATCTTCACAGGGATTAAAAGCATCTGGTTCAGGTGCACATCGGAGTATCTTGGGTGAGCAGAAACCATAATCATAGTCCCAGCCACTCAGTTCACTCTCGGCAAAGATGTCAGAATAACTGTAAGAAGAATATTGGCTTGATGTAAACCCAAGATTTTCTATGCTTCTGCACATTAACCAATTCAAGAATCATCCTTAGTGTGTTTTTTAAAGTCTTACAAATCAAAAGGAAACAAAGACACTTTAGCTTCAGCCTTACATTTATTTGTTAAATTATATGAGAACTCTGACTTGATAGTTTTTTTTAAGAATTATTTTATAAATAAAATTTATTTAATTTGATTGGGGAGGGAAGAAGGAGGGAGGGAGAGAGAGAGAAAGTAAGAGAGAAAGCAAGCTGCTAGGTCTGGGACTTGAACTGCGGTCGGCTGATGGGAGTCCAGCACCCTTGACTACCACGCCACCTGTAGGCCCTGACAGGAGTTTTTCTTTTTTTAAATAATTATTTAATTTTATTTATTCATTCGTTTATTTTAATTTGACCAGAGAGAGAGACAGAGAGAAATAGAGAGGGAACGTGAGAAAGCAAGCCCCCAGGTCTGGGACTCAAATCATGGTCGTCCATGTGGGAGTGTCCAGTGCCTTAACCACCATGCCACCTACTGGTCCCCAGAGGAGTTTCTTAAGAAGGGAATGAACACCTGTTTAGAATCTCCCTAAGTATTTAAACACATGGATGAAAAGACTTAATGAAACCGTTTCTGGAAGATATTTTTTCTTTGTAAAACAAACTTAGAGATACAATACATACCTGCTAAATCTAAGAGAATCATTTTTTTAGTATTTTTCTTAGCTATTTATCTCATTTAGTTGCCAGCCAAACTGCTACCAAGCTGTTTGGCTATAGTAGAATACAAATGGAATCAGAAGGCTCAGACTGTTGAAAATCAACTACTGGTGGACTTGTTTGCACTTAACCCTGCTTAATCAAATAGCTCAACTGAGAGGTAGAAAGCAAGTATAATTACTAGAAACCTAGGAGCAGAGGAAGAATATAATCATGGACTCTGTGAAGAAGAAATAGTGAAAATACATACTCTTTAGGGGTATAAGTCAAAGACAGAGGGTAGGTTGAAGAGGGACTCTGTCCCTAGTGAAGGAACAGCCCCTTCTCTGTTACCCCCTTTCAGCCCCACTGCTGCTTCACCTCATTTCCCGTAGGACAGTTACACTAGTTCTTTTCCTCACATCCTTTTTCTTTATCTTTTTTTTTTTTTTTTTGGAGAGGTTTTTGCGATAGGGTGTGTGCGCTCACCAGACAGACAGAGACAGAGAAAGCAAGAAATCACCCCCCAGGGGGGATGGCCACGCCGCAATCCCTTCTCCATTCTCCTCTCAGGATCTTGGGCACGCACGCACACACGCCCGGCGTGAGTTTTAAGCCACCAGGTCCGGGATGTGAACCGCAGTCCACTACATGGGAGTCCAGCGACATAGCCATTACACTAACTGCTGGTCCCCTCACATCTTTTTCTAACTGTATCCCTTTCCCCAGTCCATCCTGTGTGTTCCTCCTGGAAATAATTAATTTCACTTACCCAGTTCAGATCTTTTTCAGGGTCTCATTGACTAAGGAACAAAATTCGGGCTCTTTGTGATGACCTCAAGGCTCTCCTATTCTAGGTTCTGCCTGCATCTCCAGTGTCATCCCTAAGAAGTGGTAGTGCTACACAGTTCAGTGCTTGGGCTCTGGAGTGAGACTGCCAGGGGGCTAGCACAGCTGGCTGCATGAACCTGGGAGAATTAACTAACATTCCTGTGCCTAAAGTTGTTCATTTGCCAAACAGGGATGACAGTCATTCCTTCCTTGTTAGGGTAGTGCTAAAAAGGAAATGCATTAATATATGTAGAATGCTTAGGATAGTTTCTAATACAAGTATTAGGGATTCTTATAATTATCTCTTGTAGATCCCCTGTTCAACCTTCCCTTTGCCCATATGAAATAACTTGTAGCTTTCTGAAAACTTACTCTTTTTTTCCTTTTAAAGAATTATTTAATTTTGGGACCAGCAGATGGTGTAATGGTTACGTTGCTGGACTCCCATGTAGTTGACCATGGTTCGAGTCCTGGGTCCAGTGGCTTAAACCTCACACCGGATACATGTGTGTGCATGCCAAAGATCCTGAGAGGAGAATGGAGAAGGGATTGTAGTTTGGTAATCCCCTGGGAGGGGGGGTGATTTCTCACTTTCTGCCTCTCTGGCAAATGCACATGCCCTATAGCAAACATCTCTCTTAAAATAAAAAAAAAAGAATGATTTAATTGTATTTATTTTTTTGTCTTTAATTTGCTATAGACACACACATTCACCAGAGAGAGAGAGAGAGAGAGAGAGAGAGAGAGTGTGTTAAGTGAGAGAGTGAGAAAGCAAGCTACCAGGTCTGAGACTCAAACCTCAGTCAGCCATGTGCATGTCCAGTGCCTTAACCACCACACCACTTGCTGGCCCCAGACTTTCTATTCTTTTACTTCCTTGCTTTTGTGTGTGCTGTTTCTGCTGCATAGCCTCTTCTATGAAGCCTTTCTTGATTTTACTTCCCAAAGAATTTATCATTCTGTCAGTCTGCACCTCGTACATATTGCAATTGATGATTCATGTCTGTCTCCCTTAATAGTCTTTGGTTTTGTTTTTGAAATCCCAATGCCTAGCACTGTTTTGACTTGAGAAGAGTGTTCATTTAGCAAATGTTTATGGAGTGAATAAATCTAAACCAGGACAATCATGGCTCTAAAAGGAATTGAGAGGATATAGGGACAGTGAATGTATATAACGTGATGCGTATCCACTCAACAAACTTTCTCTTTGCTCACACTCTGTTAATATAATCAAAGGAACTGCAGAAACAGGCATACTTTTTGTCAAGGCCATTACAAATAAGTGTTTCACCTTAGGGTTCCTCACACACTAAAAGTATTTTTCTATAGTCTCAAAACTAATCATACTGTGCATTCAAAAGTGTGTACCTAATTTAGTGAGTGGATGAAATAATATATTTGAGGAATACAATACTGAAGGGGAAGAAGACAGTTTTTAAAAAATGAAATCTGGGACCTGGGATTTAAAAAATGTTAGAATATTGTAGAGACCAATTTGGAAATGAGAAGCCCTGCTACTATGTAGAGAAGACCACACAGGAGCCTCATCTGTTTTGGTATTTAGTATCATTACAAGCAGCACATTTATTCGTATTTATCTCACAACACATCAGTATAATAGCCTAGTTAGTTAATCTTTAAAGAGAAAAGACAGTTAAAGTTAACTGTTAATATAGATATTTAATTTCTTTAAAAAATGTATTTGTTGTGATTTTCAAGCCACCAGGTCTGGGACTTGAGCCATAGTTGGCCATGTGGGAATCTATCATTTCAACCACCATGCCACCTGCTGGCCCAATATTCAATTTCTTAGCATTAGAAAGGTCTTTAAAGACCATCTCATTGAACCCCCTCATTTTGTTGGTAAAGAAACCAAGATTGAAGGGGGTAAGTGAAGGCGGTCTGGGGAACAGTGGCAGCAGTGAAGCCTTCATATCCACAGTTCAGACATTTTTCCTCTACTTCAGTATCTGTCACTATTGTTTGAAGTGTGATCCTTCTTGGGCCACCTCTATCAGAATTACCAGGGTATTTGTCAAAACTGTAGCTTTTGCCTTTACCCTAAACCTGAATCAAAGTATTTGGGGACAGAGCCCAAGAACCCACATTTTAATAAAGTTCTCTAAATGATTCATATTAAATATCTATTAAGTCAGATGAAAACTTTCTAACTATTGCTGACTTCCATTACTCCTTTTTCCTTATCAAAATTATGTTAGCTGCTAGAGGCATGGACCTAAAACTTCTAAAAGTTCTATGATTTCAGAATAAATTTGTATCAATAAGAGGTCAAATACCTCACTCCTGCTTTTTTGCCCTTTTCTTAACAATCCCCCCTCCCCCCCCCACTGAGCACATGTCTAACAATTTCTCTCCTTGGAGATTTGTCTTTAGACCAAATAGTCACCTGCTGTTACTTATATTTGTATCCTGGGATGGTTCCTGAGGGTAGCAGCACACTTATTGACAAAGCACAGCATGAAGCTGTCTTTAGTACTGGAGGCTGTAACAGGGAATGTGGGAATACGAATGGACTTACATGGGCTTCGTAATTGAATTGGAGGAAGGAGATGCCGTACTACTGCCTCTAAAGTCATTTAAGAAAGAAAGGAGAAAGATGGGAATTTTAGGAAGAAAATGGGGCCAGCCATTTTCCTAACATGGTGAGGATACCATGCTATTTTGGGGAGAGCAGGTAATGTTTAGTGGCTAGCTCTAAACTCCAAGGACTCAGGGATGGATGTCTGATGGGAAATGCGAGGTAGGGGATTTATCATAAAAATATGAAGAAAGTAACACTGGAAGTATTTGGTTTCAGACTTAAATGAAAGAAAAGGATAAGGAGACAGAGAATAAAACTTATCTACCCTAGGTATGGTCATATTCTTTAACAACTCTCCAAGAGCATAGTAGTCAAGATGGCCAAAGGCTCTTGGAAGAGAAATGGCTACTTCTGTGTCTGCCATCAGTTAATCTTCATACAATGCTGACCATATGACAGGTGAAAATTCCTGCAAGTGAAACTGTTTATACAAGTCTTTAGTGCCGTCAACATATCTGTAAGTGCATCACTGAAGAGAATTTAGTATGACGGTGCAATGGATATTTAGGTACATTTTAAACTTTTTAAAGTCCCCCTGCCCCCAAAGGGCATTTGCACTCTCTAGAGAGAAAGGAGGAGGAAGCACCGCTCCTCCCCCCAATGTGGTTGGATTATGCATGACCCCCATTTCTCCATTTCTCCATGTTGTAGAAATTCGGGGTGCACGCATGCACACACACACGTTTTTCAAACTGCTGGGGCAAGGATTTGAACTGTGGTTGGCCATGTGGGATCTAGCTCCCTTAAGTACTAGGCTACAGAGCTGGTCACAGAGAGGCTTTCATTTGTTTTAACAGTTGAAAGAGATACTTTATTAGATGCCACTTGCAAAGAAAAGATTTCAATTTTTAAACAAATAAATATTTTGCAAACATCCCCACCCCTACCCTGTAACACACACACATACCCAAAGCTATTTCTTTTTTTTTTTTTTTTCCTTTAACAAAATCATCGGCATTGATAAGAATAAGGTGCACACAGGACATGATATGACTTCCGGAGTTTTTTTTACATGCATATACTTACAGTGTTTCATTATTTGGTTTTCTTACTGTGCTTTCACATTGTTTGGAAAAGTTTTCAAAAATGGAAAATGAAAAATTCTGTCTGAAAGAGAAGAGGTAAAAAAAAACACAAAGCAGTTGAGCTTAATCTTTAAACCCTTTTGTGTCTATTTATGCTTTGTTCATCCAGATTCTTTACCTATTACACCAGCATCGTGTTCTGCACCATTGTCCTAAATGAAATGCTTCCTGAGGAGAAAGTAAAGGCTTCTGAATTGTCATTAGAAAGCTTCCAGCTTAGATAAAATGCTTCTGAATGCTAAGTGTTGTGTGTGGGCTCTAGAGATTAAAAAAAAATTATCATTTTTGTATCATGGATTTTTCAATGCTTATTAAAAGGTATCTTTATAATATATTAAGGTTTGCTCCTTACGACTCTCCTTTCCACATCAGCCTTGATTAACAATTGCTATTTGGAAATCATGGCTTTGAATTGTAACTGGAAATCTGTTCTGTAAGGCTTTGAAGATTCTGTACCTAGTCTTAGGTGAAGTTTGAGCCTTTTTCTTGTGTACATATACATATGTGAATGCTCCCCACTCATCCAGCTTTCCTGTTAAGAATGTCAGCCTATGGAAAAGGGGGGGAATACCAAGAAAATTTTAAAAGGCCTATACTTACCAAAGGGGGTACTTACCTATGGATGAAACCTAAGGAGGAACAAAATAAATAAACAGGAGAAAGTAGATTAGGCTGTGAGAGCCTCCACCTTTATTGAGGATGCTTTTCCCCCACCTGTCTAGGGAACTCCTAGTGATTCTTCAAGGCTCTGCAAAACTCAGATTTCTCAGGAAGCCCTGCCACCATTTAAAAACTCTTCCTTTGTATGCCCCAAATACTCTGTTCTATTCTCAGCTCTGTAGACTTCCTGTCTTGGACTGAAATCATGGTTCTTTTGTGGATTACCCCTTCAGGGCTATCTGTGACTGTGAGGGTTGGGATGAGCTCTTACTTCTGTATCTTTGGACTTTTATATAATATTTGAATATAGTAAATGCTTAATTAATGTTCTTTGGAACTCACTTCATGGCACATAATTCTCTGAACACAGAGTGTTTTGTCTTTTCAGCTACTCCAAAAGCTTCAAGCAGAACCAAGTCAACTTAGCAAAGTACAAATAATATATGTTGGTTGATTTCAAAGATAGCAGTAGTCTCATGTCAGTCTTTCAGTGCCTCATCTATTAGGTGGTCTGGAAAGTCGTGACCTATTTTTCTATGTTTCTCTATGTAAAAATGCATGATGACTCTCTTGACCGCCCAATAAATAGCTGATTGAGAATATCTTCTTAGGCTGTGATAATAACAACCCTTTAGGGCAGTGATTTTCCAACAGTTGTGGCACATCCAAGAGTCATGAAAACAATAGAATGCATCAAGACTAACATTAAAGACAAACTTGAAACAAAATAGCATTAAATAGACAAGAGACTATCAGAGTATATCACATAAGAAGGTAAATAAAGCTCTGTTGTATATTAGTTACATATGTGGCATGAGCTGGAAAACAGTGCTTCAAGTAAAGAATAAAATCCTGCCTCTCTGCCACCCATTTTGGATTAAAGTGCATCAGTAAGATGCCCTCCACTGGACACAAACCAGCCAGGTGTTTCTGCCCTTTTTGTTCCCATGTTAAACTAATCCATAGGGAGCTGGGTTCTATTCTGAAGTGAAAAATATCCTATGAGGGGAGAGGTAGTTATTTTTTTATAAAAGAAAAACCCCAAAAAACAAAAAACAACAAACCTTCCATAGTATTTTGTGTTCATTTTTTAATGAAAAATTAAGGTAGTAGATACCGTTTACCCTCTTGAGCCTGCTTTCCCCATTTCTTTAAAAATGATGGTTCTGATAAGAATTAGAATTAAATGATCTTTGAGGTGCCAGTTTTGTACTCCATTGTGCAATTGCTAAAATAGGCTGTAATTCAGTTAGTACAGAATTGGCTACCCAGGTCTTGTAGCTGCAGAGTGAATGAAATGTTTGGCAGTTGTTTTCACAAGGGAACAGGACAGTTCATTTTCTTCTTGTCTATCTGAAAATGACCCCATGGCTATGGAGTTGGCCAAAAGGCAGGGAATGAGGGGGAGGGAGCTGTCGACCAGTTGACTATTTTGAAACCTGAGTTTCTACCACAGCTTGACAGACTTTACTTTTTTTTTTTTTTTTAAACTTACTCTTTTATATTGGCAAGTTTCTAAAAGCACAGCAGTGACTGGGATAAGTCAGTGTAGCATCCAGGAGATTGGTAAATTTTTCTCTTGATGGTAATTTTTTTAGAGAATAAGAGGATGTGGCAATTAGCGTCTGAATGGACTCCAGCCCATAGTTTGGCAGGGCCTGCAGTTTGGTGGAAGAAATATCCCTGAACAGTAAAGGAAAGAAAGGGTTTTTATTTAGTTAGTTTACACATTTTATTCAGAGAATGAAACCTCTTCTCAACAGTAGTGTCATTCTAGGTTCTGAGGAATTTTTTCTCTGTCTTGTTCTCTCCCTAATTCTCCATTTCACTTTCTCTCATTAAGATCCGAATTCAAGAAATCTGTTCTGTGTTTTTCTTTCATTTGCGTCACATATTCTTTTCAGAATTGAGTATAATTCCTTGTACCTGGCATACACTTATTAGCATTTCTTTCTCCTCTCTTGGGAGTCTTTTCTCCCCCTTCTCCTCCTGTACCTCTCTTCACTTAGCAGAAGTGAAATAACTACTTGCTTTATGAGACAGCAGGCCCATGCAGTGACATCAGCTTTTGTGCTCTACCCCACGGGGATGTATTCAGGCTTCAGATGCCTCAGTCTTTGATTGATCAAGCTCTGCAGGAGAGGTTTTCATGAAGTATAGGCTGGTTACTCTATTAAGCGCCACTATGTGGCATTAGCCATCATCTACCTAGGAAGCAGAATGCACATTCTTTAATGGCCAACTGGATTTATCTGTTCAAAACAAGCAAACACTTGGCCATGCCAGCAAAACTGTGTGAAAAGTTCAGGCTTTGTAAACATGGTCCTGCATGGCTTGGTTTTACTAGACTTGAGGCTGTGTCAAAGAAAATTCTAAGCATATTCAGTGTCAAAAGGAAGAAGAGTCAGGATTTGAAAATACTCTTTTCTTTTTTATTATAGGGCATGTGCACTTGCAGGAGACAGAGATGGAAAGTAAGAAATCTCCAGATAGCCACACTGTAGTCCCTTCTCCTCCATTCTCTTCTTGGGACTTTGGGCATGCATGCACACGCCTACAGGACTAGAACCTTGTAGGGATGTGAGATCTAGCTGCCTTAACCTCCATGCCATCTGCTGTCCCCCTTACTGATCATTTTGTAAGTGCTGCTGCTGCTGCTCCGTGACTTTCCTAACAGCACAGCCTCTCTTAGCAGTCTGCTGTAATACTTAGTGTCCAGCGCATGGGAGGAAATCAACGGTTGATTAATGGAGGATGAACTTGACAACATGGAGTGATGACGGTATAAGCCTTGGTGGAATAAGGGCTTCAGGCTTAGCTATTCTTATGTCCTTGTTAATTTAAATAACCAGTGTTCTCATCCTGCCTTACAGAGTTATTACCTCAGATATTTTTGGGATTGAGCATTGAACTCTTTGCAAACCTTGTGATTTTGTGTGTGTGTGTGTGTGTGTGTGTGTGTGTGTGTGTGTGTTTTCCCAGTGGTTACATTTAAAATTAGGATCTTTGAAATGACAAGGCCTCATTACAAAGGAGTGAATATCTGAGTGGATTTTCAGTTTCAGTGATAGACCAGGGGTTGGGGGGGGGGTTGTTTTTGGATTATTGATGGCAAAAATGCTACTAGACACTATTCAGATTCTAAGGATGAGATGAGAACAAGTGCTTGAGTAGGAAGAAACTTAGGTCTGGTCCCACTGTTCTGGTTATGACAATGTAAGTACCTCAATGCCCACAGTCATTTCTAAGCACCTGACCAAGCAGCTCTTCAAGCAGTCACTATTACGTGGCAGGTGGGGTCTTGTGACCACACTAACTCAGTCATGTTCCATGACTGAGCCAGAGGTAGCTCTTTTTAGTCTAGTGACTGAATGTGTGCCAGCTTTGCAAGTGCCCTGCCTACAGGTATGCTAGACTGAAGAATAGCCAACCTATAAAATTCTGAGTGTGGTGTACTTTGGATACACGACATATTGTAAGATACCCCTAAGGTAAAGTGGCCAGAATCTACAGAGACAGCAAGAAAGCAGTGGGCAGGAGCCACAAGATAGTGAAAGCCATAAGTAAATCAAGTGGATAGTAGAGAACTTTAGGATTGATGGTGGCAGAAATTAGGAAGTAAGAATTTTAGTGGCAGTAGTTAGGAAGTAGACAGAGGTTGATGTTGGGAGGATTTAAAAGGTAGACAGAATCCCATTGGTAGTGGCAGGAGATAGGAAATGGATTAAGTCAGTAGTTTACTGTGATAGGAACTAGACATAGTCAGGGCTTAAAGGTGGGGGGAATAGGAATAGACAGAATTAAGAGTTGGTTGCAGGTTAAGAGGTAGACAGGAAATAGAGTTTGGAGTTTATAATGGGGGAAGATAGGAAGTTGACAAGAGTCATGAGTTGATACTGGCAGGAACTAGGAAATAAGAATAACTGGGACCATTCATGTTCTTCTCTGACCAAAACTGTAAAGCTTCCCCCTCTCACTCAGAGAAAAGGCAAAGTCCTTATAGTGCCATAAGGTCCCCCATGACCTGGCTTTCTGCCACCTGTCTGTCTTTATGTTTGATGACGTTCCTCTTTGCTTACTCTGCCATTCTGGCTACCTTACTGTTCTTCAAGTATACATGGAAAGATCCTGCCTCAGGGACTTTGCTTTTGCTCTTTCCTCTCCTGGAACGCTTTTTCTGCAGATGTTGACAAAATTTGCTCTCTAATTTACTGCAGGTATTTACTCAAATGACACTTTTCTGTAGAACTCCTTTCCTCCCAACTAGCTGGATTTTTCTCCTTCCCAACTAACACTATTTGGCCTACTACATGTTTTATTTACTAGTTGATTTATGTCTGTCTTCCCCATTCTGTAAAGGCAGAGATGTTTGTCTTATCTTTTCTCTGTTGTTTTTCTGATGCCTAATCCAGCACCTACCACATAGTATGGGTTCATAAAAAGTGATTGAATAAATAAATAAATGAATAAACAAATGAACTGGAAATCATGCCTTCTAGCATACTTTTTCACTTTAAAGTGACATGACTGTTGCTTTGCCAGTTTATTGTTTTCTTCATTCCTTGACTATAATCTTTCTCTCTCTTTTAATTTGCCAGAGGGCACATGTGCTTGGTGGAGAGACAGAAAGAGGGAATGTGAGAGAGCAGTTCTCATGGAGAACGGTCATGCTGCAATCCTTTCTCCTCTATCGCTCCCTTCTTTCAGGATTTTTGGCATGTAAGCACATGCTCCCAGAGTGTTTTTCAAGCTGTTAGGTCCAGGACTTGGACCTCATGATTGGCCATGTGGGATCCAGCTTGGCACTGGCTGGCCTAACTATACCATTGTCTTTGTAACCTGGTGAACAAGACATGTTCAATCAATGTTTGTTGAATAAGTGAGAAATAGTATAGTAGAGCATGGAGTAATGGACTACCACCTTTGTGCAGGGTGGGGCGATGCGATTGCCTGTGTGAGAGCTGCATAGTGCCTGAAACCCTGTTATCTTTCTCCCTGAAGCCTGACTATAGCTGCTGTTCTCTGTAGGATGTTCTGAGCTTTGCACTGCTTCATCAGGGGACTCTACTAATTCTGTTCCCTGTTTCTATTTTTTTCCCTTATGTCCTTATGCAAACTCCTCATTAACTGAGGGAGCCTAGCTCCCCTGAGAGAGTGTAAGACACAGCAGTTTAGCTGTGTGCAGCCAAGAGCCAGGGGCAAGTTAGTGATCTGGTCTTGGGTTCTCATAAGAGGATCCCAGGTGGTAGTTACTCCACTCTGCTAGCATGAGACCACCTCCATGTCTGGTTGTGTTGTACCAACCCCAGATTCATATGTGGAAGTCCTGAACCCTAGCGCCTCAGAAGATGACTTTATTTGGAGATACACTCATTTCAGAGGTAATCGGGTTGAAATGAGGTAATTTAGGTGGGTCCTAACTCAACATGACTAATATCTGTATAAAAGGGGAAATTTCGGAGGTAGACACACAGAGAGAATGCTATGTGAAGATTGGAGTTATGCTACCACACCAGAAAGAGTTACTAGGAGAGAGACCAAAACAGAGCCTTCAATGCCTTCAGAAGAAATGGACCTGCTCACACCTTGATTTTGGACTTCTAACCTCTAGAACTGTAAGACAATGTATTTCTTTGAAGTTACCCAGTTTGTGATACTTTGTTAAGGCAGCCCTACCACATTTGGTCTTTTCAACAGCGGCCTTTTCAGATGCAGAGACTGGTGCCCCACGAAGCAGGCTGGGGGTGAGGTAGCTGAATTTGCTTAGCAGACTGTTGGTGTGTACCAGGTGGGGATGGGGCAGCGCCATGATACTCACAAAATGCTAGGTCCTGTGGCCCCCTGGAAAGCTCTGTTGTCTATCTTCTTCAGGTGTACATTTTCTTTTAGCTCCCTGTGGAGGACAGTTTCCTTAGTAGAGTTTGCATTTCATGTATAAACATTCATAGTTGTGTACACAGACATTTGGACCAATCTATGTGCATGATGTGCAGGGTTAGAAGGTGAAAAGGGGAGAATTGTTGGGAACACAGAAAAAGGATATGCTAGTTCATGGCAAAATTGTGAAATTGTTGACATGTGTTTGGTAACCACCTTTTCTTTGCAATTTCACCCTCACTTGGTGGACTCTTTCTTCATCCTCTGACTTAAAGTACCCTCTCTCTCTTGTCCTGGAATAATGAAAAATTTACTGACAGACAGCTTGGTAAGGATGTAAATGCTCAGTGACTGAGGCTGAAGGGTTGAAGTTCGGCCTACTTAGGACCACCAGGTGGCATGTGTTTATGGCACTGGACTCCTACCTGAACCACCACAGTTTTCATCCTGGACCAGGTGGCTTACTTTCTCACTTTTTCTCTCTTTCTCTCTCTCTGGTGGGTGCACATGACCTATACCAAATTTAAAAAAAAATAAATAAAATTAAATAAATAATTCTTTAAAAAATTTCAGCCTGCTCTTGTATAAGGCTCTTAGCCTTGTGATCTTGGAGGTCCCAGAGATTAATAGTAATATGCTGAAGTTTGCAAATACTTAAAAAGGAAAAGTAGAGTTCATTCAAAGGTATCCCTTTCATAATTAATTTGGCCTTTTTTTCTTTCAGATATTCATTTCTCCGTGAGTGAGAAAAGGGAGGAATTCAATACAGCCTGTGTAGACGATTGCCCATACTCTAGGTGCCCACAAGTCTGTGTGGTGTAAATGATCATTGCTAGGTGTGTGTTGTGGAGACAAAAACGTTGAGGGCCAGTACTTCAGGTTTGTGGGGGAAGCTAAAACCTATCATGGCAGTGGCTACCTGGGGATTGTGTTCCCTTTAGCTTCAAACAGCTCTGGCTAAACTCCCCAGGAGCCAATCAGCTTGGCCTGCTAAACAGTCTCTTGTGTGGGCCCTGATGTGGATTTCTCCAAGCACAGGACCTTCTGTGGGTGAACAGGGGAGCTAAAAGTGGCGTTCGTGTGCTCAGACCTGCCAGCCATTTTTGAACACTTTCTTCACATAAGACAAGAGTGGTGATGTAGAGAGCATTCTGGAAGACCCTGGACAGTGGGCTCACTGTATGCATCCATTGTTGGTGTGATGATTTCAAGCATGGAACATGATTTTTCTGTATCACTGTCAAGACTGTTGCATGGCAAAACAAATACACCGACTACTACTCCCCACTGCCCTGCAGGGTGACTAGTTAATCACCTGCACTCATCTCTAGCTTTACATCATCATCATCTTTCTGCATGCCTCTCCATCACAACTGTCCTTTGAAACTGCAAAAGTTCCGGCATCTCTCTTTCTGGGTGACTATTTTCCACATGTTTTTGCTAATCCTTTTCCTTGGAAACCCTTAGCCCTTTCATCAGAATGCATCTGTCAATCTCACATCATCTCATCCCTGGGTATATTTCCACTTTCAAAGAGATGAGGTTGTCAGAGTCAATTGCTGTTTAAAATCTAAATCAAAAGAAATTTTCCTTCCTAAACCTCCAAGGCTCGTCTTCCTGTTTTGGTTTGTTTTAATTATGCTCAGTTAGAGTCATAAATCTTTGAAACTGGGCTTTGTGAGCAAATAATTGTCATGTCAGCCAGGTCAAATTAATTGTTGATATTTCATGACAGACCATTTCACTTGTTTTATGAAAACTTGGATCTTTTTTTTTTTTTTTAGAGGTTTTTTGCTATAGGGCGTGTGCGCTCGCCAGACAGACAGAGAGAGACAGAGAGATAGAAAGCAGGAAATCACCCCCCAGGGGGGATGGCCACGCCACAATCCCTTCTCCTCCATTCTCCTCTCGGGATCTTGGGCACGCACGCACACGCGCCTGGCGTGAGTTTAAGCCACCGGGTCCGGGACTCGAACCATGGTCGACTACGTGGAAGTCCAGCGACATAGCCATTACGCTAACTGCTGGTCCCAAAACTTGGATCTTTATATATAGTGATAACTCTGCATTGCATTACTATTTCAAAAGATAAATCAAACTCGTTTACCACATTTTCCTGGTGGACACTTTTGAGATGTTTGCCAAGTGATATGAACTTCCAGATGACCTGTTGAAGCATAGTTCAAAACCCCACAAACTCTGCCCAAATTTTCCTAACCTGGGTGCTCTGGGAATGGTAGGGACTGATTTCCGGACCCCAGAGGTGCTGAGTGCAACCTTCTGGTGTTGCCTCCTGCCTTTCCTGTTAAGTGAGAATATTGCAGGGCTTCACAGTCCTTATTCTGAACAACTGTGGACAGGCCTATATACAAGAAAAGTGTCAGAGACTTGGCTGAATTAAAGTTTGAAAACTTAGCTTGACAGTTTTGAAAACTATCCCTGCCCTCCATCCCTGTTTAAACTCTTCAGTTGTTATCTTTGCTCTTAAGGAGAGTTTAAACTCCTTTCCATGACCCCTCAGTCCTGCAGACGCAGCCTAAATGTCGTGTTCTCAATGAGGCTACCCTATCTCTTCTGATAGAACAAGAACTTTCGTCAACACTACAGTTAACATAGTGCCTGATATATCAGTGGTACTTAAAAAATGTTTGTTAAATGAATATATGAGTGAAATTGATTTGTATTCTTGTCAACTGATTTGTACTCTTGGTTTCCTCTTTTTGCTACAGTGAGATATAGTCAATACAGAATTGTGACTATTCACCTTTCATGGGACAGGCCTGTTTTGGCGTCACTGTAACAGTTGAGACACAGTTGACCACCTAAAGTCTTACCTCCTAAAGTTGTGTTTTCTCTGACCTCCCAAAAATGTACTTCATTTGTTTTCTTCCCACTTCTGTTTAGTTTTGTTCTGACTTTGCTTCTTCATCTCTGATTTCACTCCACTTTTATATCCAGAACTCTTTTTTGCCCTTATCTAGGTGACCTCAGCATTTGTTTCTAGTTCTGGCTTCTCCTTCCAGCCTTTGTCCTTCTGTTAACAGATGAAACTTCTTTAAGCATCCATTTACACTCTCATCCCACTACTTTTCATTACTTCTCATTTTTTCTATAGAAGAGTCCAAATAGTTTTTTCCTTTGGTGCTAGAGGGTGTGTGTGTGCACCAGTGAGAGACAGATATAAAGAGGGAGAGAAGAAAGCACTCCTCTCTGGGGGATGGGCATACTGCATTCTGTTCTCCATTTCTCCTACCTTTCAGCATTTTGGACACACATGCACACTTGCCCAAGTGTTTCTCAAGCTACTGGTCCAGGATTCAAACCACAGGGTTGGACATGTAAAATTCAGCTGCCTTACCCACTAGGCCACAGAACTGGTCCCAGATGTTTTACCTAGGCATCTAAGGCCTTTTCAGCTTTGTCCTTAACTCACATCTAGAACTTTCTAAAATGTACCATATACTGATCTGTGAGCATATCCCATGTTTCTTTTTTGGGGACATTCTTGCTCTCCTCTGCCTAGAATGCATTTTCTTTCTATTTTTGCATGTCCACATTAGGCTCAGATTAAAGTCCACCTCTCATACAAGGCTTCCTCTGACTTTTTTCTCTTGCCTTGGAAATCCTAGAGAATTTTACCTGTCTCAGTGTATGTGTCACGCTTTGCCATCTGTTGTATTCTTTTGCCCAGGCTGGCCTCAAACTCTCCATCCTCTCATCTCAGCCTCCTGAGTAGCTGGGCCTCTAGGCACATGCCACCATGCCTGGCTTTGCCTTCTGTTCTAGTTACTACTTAGTGTGTAGTTTATATATCATATCAAGATGCCTCTTCCTAGGCTGTCAGTTTCTGTGGGGCAAACACCAGGGCTTATTCATCCTCATTTCCCTTCAAAATACAGTGTATTCCTTCAAATACAGCTGATGCTTAGAGAATACTTGTTGAGTGAATAATAGAATGAGCCACATGAAAATACCATGCCAGGAAAGGATATAAATGCCTCTGATTTAAGTTTAGCAGAAATAGATTCAATTGGCCAGAGGGTTCACCTTCATTAAATCAACAGTTTTTGTTAACGAGCCCTTTATTGAGTAACAAAATAATGAAGGCAAATTCATATCATGGTAGGATGGACAACTTTTAAAAAGCTCTTTTCTCTTTTTGAGACAGAGAGAGAGAGGACAGAAAGCAAAAAATCATCCCCTGGGGAGATGGTCACACCATCTCCTCCATTCTCCGCTCAGGATTTTGGGCACACACACACATGCACCCAGCATGAGTTTAAGCCACCAGGTCTGTGACTCGAACTGTGGTCGACTACATGGGAGTCCAGCGACGTAACCATTCTGCCATCTGCTGGTCCCAAAAAGCTACCATTTCTTGAGCACATAGCATAAGACAGACTTTGTTCTAAGCACATACAAATATAATCTTATTTAGTTATTCATTTATTTATAATTAACAATGGTAAAAGAAATAATGAATGAGCACCTGTGTGCCAGGCACTGTGTTAGGTACTGAGGATACAAAATGAACATTTTAGTTTTGTTGGGGTTATCCTCAAAGCAAGCCTATTAGTACCTGCATTTTATGAACGAGGACACTGTAGTTTAGATAGGTTATGGTCACACAAGCTGATAAATAGTGGGGTTGGAGTTTCAGTCCCAGTCAAAGATTCTTAGGCCTGTTCTCTTAGCTTCTAAGCTATGTAGCATGGCATCAATATCTATAGTTAAAAAGAAATAATTTATTTTATAGACTTGGCTACTCAGTCTCACCAGCAGCACTAGCCTTTCTTGGGAGCTTGTTAACAAAAATTCTGGGGCTGGACCATGGCACAGTTGTAAAATGTGACACTCTGTAAGGCTGATCCATAAAAGAAGGTTTCTGGGTGATATCCAGAGGCTTCCCTGAGTATGCTGACATATGTGTGCCCATGATGCAGGCTGGCTAAAGCTGGTAGATCACAGTGTCAAGACCCCGCTGGGGTTGCTCAATCTCTGTATCTCTCTCTGTCTTTTTCTCTGTCTCTCTTGGAATAAATAAATATACTTAAAAAAATCACAAATTTTCAGGCCCTACTTAAACCCATTGAGTCAACATGTCTGAGAGTGGGGCCTGGGAATCTGTGTTTAAACAATCTGTAGGTTATTCTTATGTATGTTCAAGTTCAAGAAGCATGGTATAAAAGGGAATTTCACTTCATACCTGTTCACATGTTTCCAGACCCAAAAGATTTGTGAATGTGCCATTCTTTTGGAAGAGGAACCACAGAAAGAAAGAGGTTAAGAACAATGAAGGGAACAGTTAAAGGTCACTCCCCTTGGGTTAAAGGCTGTTAATATGGAGCTGGTAGCGTACGGTGAAAACATAAAGTGCCTTCACCCTGTGGAAGATGAGCTTCCTCCCCCACCAGCAGTACAGAGATGAAACTCTTGAGTGGCTGATCAGGCTGGTAAATGGTATTACCTGACTTCTCTAGAGTAGGGCCAGGGAAGAATTTATTTCTGAAATTGTGCTGCCTTTAACACACCATCAACCTGAGCGAGGGGGCTAGAGAGGGAGGCTGTGAGACAGAGGAGGCATAAAGTAGGGTGTTGAATATTTCAGCAAACTGTCAACTTCAATGTATTGAGGCTATGCCTATCTTTGAAATCAGGGTGCTCTGGGGTTTCCAGCCAGCCAGTTGCCTAGTAACATGCATGGAGCACTGAGGACTAGCCACTTGAAGGTTTATTTTTGCCCTGAATTAGTTGCTGAAGATTGAATGTGATCTGGTAGCCAGAGTGATATTTCATTTTTATTCATGAACTTATGAAATAAGCACATACTTACAGTGAAATGAGCGTTGTCCCATTGAATGCATGGCTTTGTACTTCTTCAAATCCATTTCCATATAGTTTGCTGAAGGAGGGAGGAGGGGGTTTAGCAATGACAAGGAACAGGGGGAAAAAAAGCGTAGTTTGGAAGCACATATTCTTCAACCTATGGCATTTATTATTAACATAGTCACTGACATTAACGACACCTAGCTCTGTTTCTCTAATATTTCAGACTTGAAGGACCAGGGGTAATGAAGCTGTTCTTACTCACTTCTACCTCCACTATCACCACCACCACTAATTTAAGTCTACATTAAGTGCCAGATGTGTAACCTGCCATTATGTATGTTTTTTTTTAATTAAGAATTATTTTAATTAACTTTATTTATTTATTTTGATTTGACCAGAGAGGGACAGAGTGAGAGAGAGAAAGAGGAGAAGTGAGAAAGCAAGCCACCAGGTCTGGAACTTGAACTGCAGTCGGCCATGTGGGAATCCAGTGCCCCTAACCACTATGCCACCTGCCGACCCCTATATGTATGTCTTATTATTTGATTCTTAACATTATTTCCATTACCCTGCTAAGAAATCTAAGCATCTATGTTGTTACAGAGCTGCTTGAGATAAAAGGAAAGCAGTGACAGAACTAGGATTTGAGGCCAGAGCTGTCTAAGTAAGCCTTTCTTCTGGTTCTACAGTCCTATGTGCACATACAGACTTTCTGGCCTGCTGAAAGCTCAGGACAGAGCAAGGCTCGAGTCCTGAGTCAGCTTTTCTTTTCTTAGGGTAAGTAAATGGTTTTTCTGAGGCCAATTTTGGTTCCACACCAAGGAGATTCAATGACTGTAAATAGTTCTTTAAGACCCATTAGTGCACAGTGCAATCAATTTAACTGCATGCAATTAGCATTTGAAAAAATGCTTTAGAACAGAATAGGACAAAGGAAAGTATTTGAATATGCTGCATATAATTAGGGTATTAATACTTATGAAATTTTGTTCCATAATACCACTTCTGTGTGTTATATAAATATACACATATGTACTTCTGCCAAAAACAAGATATATTGATAAGAGGCTCCTCAGAACATGGATGATGGAAACTGTTAGAGCCAGAAAGGAGCCTGGCTCACAAAGAAAGAAATAGCCTCAGAGAGGGAAAGTGACTTGTCCGAATTCCTCTATTGGTAGAAATGGGACCAGAATGCTTTTTGTTTGGGGCTACTTTTGGCACATCAGTTTTGCTGGTAGTTTTTACCTTTCTTCCCCCGTATCTTTATGACTCATCTACTCTCTTCTAGCAGGGCCATGTTCAGTATCATGTCAGTGTGGCCTTTCTGGGCTGTCTTACTTAAAATACGAACTTCCTATCCCCCTTCCCTGATTTGTTTTTTCCTCTGTTGGCCCATGATCTTATTTTACTTGTTTATTGTCTGTTGCTCCCGGAACAATGTAAACTTCATGAGAGCAAGGATTTCCAACCGCTTTGTTCACTGCAGAATCTCCCATATCTATAACAGTGCCTGGCACCTGTGAATATTACAATAAATATTGGGTTGTTGGAAAAGTCATGACATATCCTTTCTATGATTTTCTATGTAAAAATGTGTCATGACTTTTCTAATGGCCCAATGTATGTCAAGTGAATTAAATAAATGATCTGTGTGAGATGAATTTCTTACTATAAGCTGTAGCCAAACAATTTTGAAAGCCACTATCTTAAATGGAAATATTTATATGTTATGAACAATGATAAAGGATCCAAATGAGAAAGCATTGTGGTGCAATATGAATATGATCATATCTGTCAAGACCCTAGATTCCCATTTCAAGGTTACTGGCAGCCACATGCCCATGTTAGGGACAGGTGAGAGGGTATGACTTGAGAAATGGTTCAGACATGTGGCCTACCTTCTTCTACTCCAGGTGGCTGTTGTCTGCAAGAAACTTTCTCTAGCCTTTGAGAGAACAAGTGTGGTATTTCACCTCACGGTGTATGTGAATGTGTATGTGTGTGATATACACACATGTGTGGGTATTGTGGTCTCTTCTGTTGGCCCACAGCACACCTGAGACAACCAGCATATAAGGTGAAATATGATTTTGAACTAAAAAATTGAAAATACATAAATTAGACATTATAGAATAATTCTTAGACTCTTCATTAGGTTGAATTACAGAGATCAGGGGAACATATTTATTTCTTAACCCCTCAAGCCTGGTACCTAGAAGAAGCTTGATTCATAGTCTAGATGAAGCGAACATTGCCCTTTGGATGGAGGAAGAGCTTTCTTGGATTCTCCTACTCTCACATGCTTTCTTCTGGAATTCTTCTGAGTTTAGAGCTTCACACATAGCTCTAAACTATGGTCTGTACTGGACTGTTGGATGCCATTTTCAAATAGTTTTCTTTACCCCTGAGAGGATAGGTACTTGGTTTATATCTGTTGTCTTGGGTAATTACCCAAGGTTACACATAACCTTGTCACCTCCTCTACTATTTCAAATCCACTGGGCTTAAAAAACACATTCTAGGGACCAGCAGTTAGTGTAATGGCTATGTTGCTGGACTCCCACGTAGTCGACCGCAGTTCGAGTCCCGGACCCGGTGGCTTAAACTCACGCCGGGCGCGTGTGCATGCGTGCCCAAGATCCCGAGAGGAGAATGGAGGAGAAGGGATTGCGGCATGGCCATCCCCCCTGGGGGGGTGGTTTCTCGCTTTCTGTCTCTCTGTCTCTGTCTGTCTGGCGAGCGCACGCGCCCTATAGCAAAAACCTCTCCAAACAAAAATAAAAAAGAAAGAACAAATTCTACTTAGACTATTATTCTTTGTCAGTCTCTTGTCATTTGAGGGGCTAAATTTCTTTATAGCAATCTCTTTTACATGAAAGATTCATACCTGAATTTCCTACCTGAATTTTCTCTGATTTTTTTGTTTGTTTGTTTTGTTTTTGTTTTGAGTTTGATGTCTTAGAGTCTAGGACAGAATTTGCCAAAGCATTCTCTTCCACTTACTGAATCAGAATCACGTGGAGTTGTTTGTCAAAAAACACAGATTCAGACCTACTGACCAGGTGCATCTCAGACCTACTGAATCAGATTTAGTAGTGGTACCCACTAGGTGTAGCAGTATAATATGCACTTTTATAACAAGCTCTCTCAGTGCATGCTGGGCACACCAGTTTGGGAATCCTTGCTAAATCCTAAGATGATGCATTTCTCATCATTTCTATGGTAAAAATCCGATGATCTTTTGCTCAGAATTGAGTCCAGTGTCTAAACTTTGTATTTCTTTTGTTACCTTCTAAGCTAAAGTGTGTAGTGTATCAAAAAAAAGAAGCCTTGCCTCTGTTTTAGCAAAGCAAAGCTGCCAGCAGTTGTCTGGATGCCATTCACTCTCTTCTCCTCTATGTGCTACACTGATCCTAGCTTTGACATGTAATAGGATTTTATTCTTTTTTATTAGGCTCATAATAACATTGCTGTGAGTATAGCCTCATGGTTAGGTCTACAGGCTCTAAGCCCAACTGTTTGACTCCTTACTTACAAACTGAGGTACTCTGTGCAAGTTACTGAACCTCCCTGAGCCTCTATTCCTAATATAAAAATAGGGCTAATGATAGTATCAACTTCATAAAATTGTGGTGAGTAAACATAAGCACTTAGATATGGACTCAGGGATACACTAAATGCTCATGTGTTGGTGCTGTTACTATTGTATTTTGCAATGGCCTCCAGTCTTCCGGTCAGAATAGAAGGGAAAGATGTCCCTCTTGATGCCCTGGACAGGATGTTCATGAAATGTACACAGCCTGTTTAATTCAACTACCATCCTCTTCCACTGGGGGTGGGGGCTTTCTGTTCTTGGGCAGAACAGGTTAATGGTCTGAGTTGTCCTCAATGCATTTACTTCTGAGGACCCTCAACCATTTTTAGTCCGTTCTAGTACCATGGATGTTTTTGCATTTGGACGGTTTTCATGTCATCAGCATCATCATCATCTTTTTTTTCCCTTGCCTTTTCTTTCTTTTTTCTTTTCTTTTTTTAAAAGCCTGGTCCTGTTTGTCCCAGCTTTCCAAAGAACAACTTTCAACTGTTTCCTTTTCAGCTGCTCATCTCTGTTCTTACTAGTGGCACACAATAGAATGCCCTGCCTTGTTTTGATTAAAAGGGTGGCTTCCTTACTTTGGAGAAATTACAAATGTGAGTGGGAGACCTCATGCTGTCAGGTCTGCACAATGCTTTTAATGCCCTTTAAAAACATCTGGAGAGCCACTTCAGATAACTTTTTTCGAAAACATCATGGTGTCAGAATTAAATGAGAAGGGCTTCTTTGCCATGAGAATTCTGTCATGGGCACAGAAATGTAAGTTTTTTTCCTTTCTTTCCTGGTCCTGTTTGTCCCAGCTTTCCAAAGAACAACTTTCAACTGTTTCCTTTTCAGCTGCTCATCTCTGTTCTTACTAGTGGCACACAATAGAATGCCCTGCCTTGTTTTGATTAAAAGGGTGGCTTCCTTACTTTGGAGAAATTACAAATGTGAGTGGGAGACCTCATGCTGTCAGGTCTGCACAATGCTTTTAATGCCCTTTAAAAACATCTGGAGAGCCACTTCAGATAACTTTTTTCGAAAACATCATGGTGTCAGAATTAAATGAGAAGGGCTTCTTTGCCATGAGAATTCTGTCATGGGCACAGAAATGTAAGTTTTTTTCCTTCTCTTTTGCCTTTATTACAATAGCTGTACCTAACTTTAAAGCATTGTTTGGGTACTCTATTCAAATGTCAGTAATTGTGAATCAAACAGAGAGCACAATATCTTTTTATTCAAAATAAGATTCAAGCTTTAAAAATTAATCACAGATGATACTCTAATTCTGAATGCTGCCTTAAAAGGAACTCCAAATATTCTTGGGGCTCTAAAAGCATTTATGGGGTTATTTAACAGTGTTATACATTCTTCTACATTATCCTGTCAAATTGTGTGGCCACCTAGTTTTCAGATGATTTTACAAAAGCTTAATTTATCTTAACAGATCCTCAGGGCTTCCAAAAGTGGTCACTTTACCAAAGGTCAAAACC